GCTACACCACAGTCTTCCCCTTGCGGCGCAAGGCGGATGTCAGTGGTGTCTTGATCCCCTGGATCCGTGCTACTCGTCACCAGCTGCGCGAGCGGTTTCGGCGGGACTTTCCAGTCCTGCGTCTGCACTCTGACAGGGGTGGTGAGTTCTCCTCTGGCGTCCTTGAGACGTTATGCCAGGATGAGGGCATCGCCCAGTCGTTCACGCTTCCGGCCTCTCCGCAGCAAAATGGGATCGCTGAGCGTCGCATTGGCCTGATCATGGAGGTTGCTCGTACCTCCATGATCCATGCGGCTGCTCCCCATTTCCTGTGGCCGTTTGCGGTCCGATACGCCGCGCATCAGCTCAACCTCAGGCCCCGTGTCTCTGCTCCAGAGACCTCGCCCACACTCCGTTGGACGGGACAGCCTGGTGATGCGTCGTCGTTTCGGGTCTGGGGCGCGCTCTCCCTTGTTCGCGATACCAAAGCGAGCAAGCTCTCCCCTCGCACTCTCCGCTGTGTCTTCCTGGGCTTCCCCACCGACGCTCCACCCTGACAGTTCTACCACCCTGCCTCGCGTCGTGTTCTGTCCTCTCAGGACGTCACCTTCGACGAGTCGGTCTGTTACTACCGACTTCACCCGCACGCGTCCCACCCGGTCCCCCTCGCACCTCTCTTCCTGGTACCAGTCCCCCCCCGGTAGACCCCCTTCCCCCGCAGGGTCCTGCTCCCTCAGGTGTGTCTCAGGTAGACCCACCCCCCTTGGATGAGCCGATTGAGATCTCTTCTGACTCCTCTGACTCACCTGAGGGGGGTGACGCTGTCGCCGACGATACGGCGACCACTCGCCGCACTCCTCGCTTGGAGACCCCCCCGGGTTTCCCGCCACGGCCGTCTTCGCCGCCTCCGCAGCCTGCTGCTGTGGACTCTGGAGCTGAGACTACTGGAGCTGGGGCTGGGGGTGGTGAGTCTGGGGGTGCCCGCTCTCCTCGTCTGGCTACACCCCCCGGGTTCCCACCTCTGCCGTCTTCGCCGCTTCTGCAGCCTGCTGCTGTAGACACTGGAGCAGAGACTGAGGGTACTGAGCCTGGGGGTGCTGGGACTGAGGGTACTGAGCCTGGGGGTGCTGGGACTGAGGGTACTGAGCCTGGGGGTGCTGGGACGGAGGGTACTGGGCCTGAGGGTGCTGAGACTGAGGGTACTGAGCCTGCGAGTGCTGCGACTGAGGGTACTGAGCCTGCGAGTGCTGAGACCGAGAGTCCTACCTCTGGGGGTGCTGCGAGTTCGGGTGCTGACTCTGGGGGTGCTGCGAGTCCTTCTGGTGTTGGTGTCGTCGGAGCTCCTACCGGAGGACCTGGAGCTACTGGTGCTGGAGGTCCTGGAGGTGCTGCTGGTGCTGGAGGTCCTGGAGGTGTTGGAGGTACTGGAGGTGCTGCTGGTGCTGGTTGTCGGGGAGCTGCTGGTGCTGCTGGTCCTCGTGGAGCTGCTGGTGCTGTAGGTACTGGTGCTGGTGCTGGAGGTCGTGGAGCTGCTGGAGCTGCTGGTGCTGGAGGCGCTGGAGCTGCTGGGGCTGGAGGTGCTGGAGGTGCTGGAGGTCCTGGTGGAGCTACTGGTGCTCTTCGCCACCTTCTCAGTCTTCAGCCAGGTGCTACTGGCTTCCCTGTGGCAGGTACTACTCCTCCGTTGCTGTGTCCACCGGCGGACCAGTCACAGCCGCCGCTGCTACCACACTCCCCACTGCCTGCTCCTGCTCCTTACACTGCGGTGTCAGAGTCCCTGACTGAGCGTCGAGAGCCTGAGACTCGTGCTTCCACCCCTGAGCGTCGAGAGCCTGAGTCTAGCTTTGACCTTGAGCCTGAGCCTAGAGCTGCTGTCCGTGCTCGTGTTCCTCGTGTTCGTCGTCAGCGTGCTCCGGCTGTCCCCGGCACTCACGATATGACACTCCGTCCTTCCTCTGTTCCTCAGCGTGTTGTCCTACCGTTACCTCCTGCGTCCTCTTTGCCTGACGTTGCTGACCCTCCGTCTGACCTTGCTCGTGCGTCCAGTCCGACTGTTACTCGCCTTCTTGCTACGGTTGTGACGGACCCTACGTTCTCGTCTCCTGCTGCGTCTGCCCTAGTAGCTGAGCTCGTTGACTTTGCTGCTGTGTACCGCCTAGACTACCTTGCGAGTCTTGTCTCTGACCCTGTCCCTGCCTGTCCTCCGTCCGTCGCGGGTGAGACTGCTCTTGGCTGCACTGCCCTTGGCTGTGACGTTCTTGAGGACAGACAGGAGGAGCTGGAGTGCCTTGCTGCCGCTTCACCCCATCACGCGACCATGCTGCTTGCCCCTGAGGGAGACCCGGATGCACTTGACATCCCCACCCCGCGCTCCTACAGGGAGGCGATTTCGGGTGAGTACTCCTCTCAGTGGCAGACAGCCATGGACGCAGAGATGGCTTCCTGGAAGTCCACAGGCACCTACGTCGACGAGGTTCCCCCACCTGGGGCGAACATCGTCAGTGGCATGTGGATTTTCAGGGTGAAGCGGCCGCCGGGTTCTCCGCCTGCCTTCAAGGCACGTTACGTTGCTCGAGGCTTCAGTCAGCGTGAGGGGGTCGACTTCTTTCAGACCTTCTCCCCCACCCCGAAGATGACCACTCTTCGGGTGTTGCTACACGTTGCAGCTCAGCGTGACTACGAGCTGCACTCCCTCGACTTCTCGACAGCTTTCTTGCAGGGTAGCCTTCACGAGGCCATCTGGTTGCGCCGTCCACAGGGCTTCACTGGGTCGTTTCCTGAGGGTACCCAGTGGAGCCTACGGCGACCAGTGTACGGCCTGCGTCAGGCGCCCCGCGAGTGGCACGACACACTGAGGACGACACTTGCGGCTCTTGGGTTTGCTCCTTCGACTGCTGACCCATCGCTGTTTCTACGCACCGACACTACTCTGCCGCCGTTCTACATCCTCGTGTACGTCGACGACTTGGTTTTTGCTACTGCTGACACTGAGGCACTGGCCCTAGTGAAGGCGGAGCTGCAGGAGAGACACACCTGCACTGACCTGGGTGAGCTGAGGAGCTATCTTGGCTTGCAGATCACCCGGGACAGAGCACGGCGCACCATCACCCTGACTCAGTCACACATGGTGCACCAGGTCCTTCAGCGCTTCCGCTTCACGTACTCCTCGCCACAGCCCACTCCTCTAGCTACCGGCCACTCGCTCTCAGCTCCACCTTCGGACGAGTCCGTAGAGCCGAGTGGTCCGTACCCAGAGCTTGTGGGCTGCCTCATGTACCTGATGACGTGCACACGACCTGACCTCGCGTACCCTCTCAGCCTTCTGGCTCGCTACGTGGCACCCGGTAGGCACCGAAAGGTGCACTTTGATGCTGCGAAGAGGGTACTGCGTTACTTGTGCAGCACATCGGGCATGGGGCTCGTGCTTGGAGGACGGGGTTCGGTGGTCCTCACAGGACACTCTGACGCTTCTTGGGCCGACGACCAGGCGACTCAGCGTTCGTCACAGGGCTACACCTTCAGTCTTGGCGCTGGTTCTGTCTCGTGGAGGTCCACTCGTTCTTCTTCTGTGCTTGGTTCCAGCTGTGAGGCCGAGATCTACGCTGGGGCCATGGCTGCACAGGAGCTCCGTTGGCTGACCTACCTGCTGACCGACTTGGGGGAGCGGCCTCGTTCTCCTCCAGTTCTGTACGTCGACAACAAGGCAATGCTTGCCTTGTGTCGCGAGCAGAGACTGGAGCACAGAACGAAGCACATCGCTCTGCGCTACTTCCTTGCGCGTGAGCTGCAGCAGCGTGGTCAGCTGCGCCTTGCTTTCGTGGCCTCTCGGGCCAACACTGCTGATGTCTTCACCAAGGCCCTTGCGGCTGGTGATCATCAGCGTTTCTGCACTGCTCTTGGGCTTGTGCCCACTCTGCCTCACCTGCTGGTTGCTTGACTTGCTCTTGTTGTACATTGCTATATATCTTTATACCTGCATGTTTCCTCTTGCTAGGTTGTGATCTGTGTACTACCTTGCTCTTATAAATCTGGTTGCGTTGGAGCTGGTTGCGAAGTACCAAAGGGCTATTTCAACTCCTTACAGAACCTTGAAATTACTCTAGTTTGCTATTCGGGTTTAAAACTGGTTGCACTAAAACTGGCTGCACTAAAACTGGTTGGAGTTGACAAAATAAATCTGCCAGTGAATCTTGAAATCTAGTGCACCATCACTTTCACACTGGAGACCAGCTTCCACCCTGCTGAGATGTTCTTCTGAAACATGCTTCTGAAACAGTTGCGGAAGAAAATACAATTGCTCAACAATGTATAAATTAGCAAGGTCCTACACTTGGGCTCGGAACGCCATAGCGAACGACTCAATAACGAATCGTTTTTGCAACTTGGCATTCCCTTTTGCCAGTCAGCAGCCAGTGCAATGATCTGACTTTCATTCGCATTTTCCATCTCTAGTATCACCGACTCAACTCTCGTATAATCACCTTCCGTACACTCACTTTATAGTAGTCTTTCTAAGTCCTCCCGCCCCGGCGTGACGGCCGACTCCCCCCGCGTTTGCAGATCGGGTAGTATTCCGCTCCCCCGCTCTTACCAGATTGTTTTTACTGTAGCAGCGTAGCTCGTCGCCGAGTCGCGCCGGGATTAGGTAGCTTGACAGAGACCGTGCACGCATGGGGGCTGGAACCGCGAACGAGGCGTAGATTGTTGCGACGCGTGTGCGGATACGCGCGTGCGTGGCGGGTAGTTTTACCGCACACGCCACCAGCGCTCTCGTTCCGTGCTTCGCGCGCGGCGCGGGTGTGAGGCCGAGCACGGCGTAGCGCCGCACCACGTGGCACACGGACAAGGGAAGCCGCCGCTGCCGCTACAGCTCGCTGCTGCCTCTATTACGCTAAGGCGATTCGATTCGATCATATTAAATTGGACTTGATTTGATTCGATCCGCCATGGTGCTCGTGCTCGCGCTCGGCGACCTGCACGTGCCGCATCGAGCGGCGGATCTTCCGGCCAAGTTCAAGAGCATGCTGCTTCCGGGAAAGATCCACCACGTGCTCAGCCCGGGGAACCTCTGCATCAAGGTGCGCGCGAACAGCGCGAACAAAATGGCGACGCGCGGAAGAAGTCAGAGGGATGAAAGAGCGTTGCGCGAGAACAAAATGGCTGTCACGAACTAGTAGTTAACTAGAAGTCGGAGTGACCTGTGCGTGTCCGTCTACATCGTCTGAGCGACTGCGTCTTTCGCACCGCCTCACGTGCGACTGTTTTGCTTCGTGTTGCTTTGCCAAGTAGATGGCACAGCAACACATTCCTCTCCCTTCTCATCCCTCCCCAACCCCCCCCAATCCCTCCCCATCGATCGTTCTTCCCTGGTTGGAAATGCAGTATCAATCTTCATCCCTGGTTTCCCTTCAGGTCCTATCGGCTCTAAATGCTCACCCAAATACCTACTACTTCCTCGGCCCCGCGACTCTTCTCCCACGCCTCGCCCCCTGACAGCAGCACGTGAACAAGTCCCCAATCCACCCAACTGCCTATCACCCCCTCCTCGTCCGATCCGAACCACCCCCAACCCCTCTCGCTCCTCTCCCCCTCCTGCCCCGCCGTTCCTGTCACAGCGGGAGGTGCACGAGCATTTCCCGTCCATCTTCCCTACCCGCCCAGCCAGCACAGCCGGCCCGCCGCCCTAGTAGCTCCAGAATTAACACCTCCCCCTCCCTTCCCCTCACCCCTTCATCCCCTCTTATCCCCTCTCCTCCACACCAGGAGGTGGCAACTTGGGAACAATCTCCTCTCCTCCCTCTCCTTTGCCAAGTTCCCCATTGCCTCTCCCTCCCCATTCCTCCCCATCCCTCCCCATCCATCGTTCCTCCCTGGAAGGAAGTGCACGAACAATCTGCATCCCAAGTTTCATTCCCATCAACTCTTGATGCTCCCACCCACCTACCTACTACTCCCTCGCCGCCACACCAGTAGGTGCAGGAGCATCTGCCGTCCATCCGCCCCATCCGCCCCATCCGCCACAGCCGGGAGCAGTAGCTGCAATATGAATCCCGCACTTCCCCCTTCCCCCCTCCCCCCCTCTCCACCTCCCCCTCGCCCCCACACGCCATGAGGTGCAGGAGTACTTGCTGGGCATCTGCCCTTGCCAGCCCAGCACAAGCCGCCGCAGAATCATCCCAACATCCCCCGCTCTCCCCTCGCCCTTATGCCCTCACACAGGAGGTGCAGGAGTACCTGCGGGGCATCTGCCCTCGCCGTGCATGTGACGCGACAAGGGGCGAGAACGACGACGACACGCAAAGTCGACCCTTCATCCCCCCCCCCCCCCTTCCTCCTTCTCTCCGTGCCTCCCATCAGGAGGTGCAGGAGTACCTGCGGGGCATCTGCCCGGACGTGCATGTGACGCGCGGCGAGTACGACGACGATGCACAGTTCCCCGACACCAAGGTCGTCGTCGTCGGGGGGTTCCGCATCGGCCTCTGCCACGGCCACCAGGTGCGTGGCTAGGGCATGCATGGCGCATGGGGCATGGCGCATGGGGCATGGCGCATGGGGCATGGCGCATGGTCCATGCTGCCACTGCTTTCCTGGTAAGATGCATCGGGCTCTGCCACGGCCACGAGGTGCGAGGATTGCCAGTGCTGCCAGGTGCACCCAGGTGGTGCAGACTGGCTCCATGCTACGGCTTCTTTTGAGACGTCTCAAAAGTTGCTACGGCTTCCGAGCGTGGACAGACGTGTACAAGTCAAGAGGCGCCAGGCTTCCGCATCGGCCTCTGCCACGGCCACCAGGTGGGGGGATGCTGCATGGTACATGGCGCATGGCACATGACACATGGCACATGGCGCATGACGTGATCCATGACATGGCCCATGCTATGGCTAGTTGTGTGTTTGTGGGCGTGCGTGCGTGTGTCTGTGAGGGTGAGTGTGTGTGTGTGTGTGTGTGTGTGTGTGTGTGTGTGTGTCTGGTGGGGGTTTGTGGGGGTGGGGTGGGGACGTGTGCGCGCGCGCGTGTGCTGCTGCCGCACGGTATGCCCAGATACCTACCGTGACCTCTGTGTGTGGGCCTTGAAGCAGGGTTACAGCTAGCTAAGTCTTCTCAAGCCTAGTCGTCGTCGTCGTTGTTTTCCTGGTAGTCGTGCAGGAGGTCAGAGAAACAGTACCCTCTCCATCCCCTCCTCCTTGCCTCTGTGCCGTGTTCCCCTTCTCCACAAATCGCCGCCCGCCTGGTTGACCCATCCCGTCTCGCTCTCTTTCTCACGTCTCCCCCTCAGGTGATCCCATGGGGCGACGTTGAGTCCCTGGCCATGCTCCAGAGGCAGATGGGGGTGGAAATTCTCATCACGGGTCACACGCACCGCTTCAAGGCCTATCGCCATCAGGGCCGCCTGCTTACTTCTGGGTCGACTCAAATGTCTCCTCCCCATCTGCCCTGCCCCCAGGTGATCCCATGGGGCGACGTTGAATCCCTGGCCATGCTGCAGCGGCAGATGGGAGTGGACATTCTAATCACGGGGCACACGCACCGCTTCAAGGCTTACCGCCACCAGGGCCGCCTGCTTATCAACCCTGGCAGTGCCACCGGCGCTTACACCCCCTCTACCGCTGCTGCCGCCGCCGCCGCCGCTACCGCTGCTGCTGCTGCAACCGCTGCTGGGGAGACTGACGCTGCTGCTGCTGGCGACGCTGCTGCGGCTGCGGCTGCAGCGGCGCTGCACCCGAGCTTTGTTCTAATGGACGTGGATGGGGCGCGCGTGGTGGTGTATATATACGAGCTGGTGGGCGGCGATGTGAAGGTGGATAAGATCGAGTTCAAGAAGCCCGTTGCTGGCGCGCAGTGAAGGGGGGGTGGAGGGGGGGGGGTAGGGAGGGGTGGGGAGTGGTGGGCAGTGGCTGGGAGCGGAGGTGGGCACTTATTATTGAGTGCCGCATGTAGTGAAGGTGGATAAGATCGAGTTCAAGAAGCCCGTTGCTGGCGCGCAGTGAGGCGAAGGGGGGAGGAGAGGGGGAAAGGCAGGAAGGGAGGAGGGAGGAGGGACGTGCACACCTCTGATCAAGTACCTCATGATGTGAAGGTTGATAGGATTGAGTTGAGTTGGAGAAACCCGTTGCTGAGGCAGTGACGCGAGGGGGGGGGCGCGGGGGAGGGGAAGTGCAGAAACGTATTAGTATTGAGGCGACTGATTGTGCCTTTTAGACGTCTCAAAAGGATCCGAGGGTGGGTAGGATAGGATCGAGTTCAGGAAGTTTGTTGCTGGAGCCACAGGCGCGGAGTGTGTTGAGGGTGAGAGGTTGGGTACCGTATGGTGAGGAGTGGGAGACAGGAAGGGGGAGAGAGGAACAGGGCGGGAGGGGGTGTGATGAATATGTTGTTGCGGAAAGAGCCAAGGTGGTGGTGGTGTGGTGAGACAGACAGGGGGACAGGGCAGGGGAGTGGAATGGGTGGACAGGGCGAGACGGACAGGGCGAGACGGACATGGCGAGACGGACAGGGCGAGACGGACAGGGCGAGACGGACAGGGCAGGGGAGCGGAATGGGCGGTAGTTGATGCCAAGGTGGTGGTGGTGTGGTTGCTGGTGTGTAGGCTAGGTACCGTATGTAGGGTATGTCCACCGATCTATCCGTCCGTCCATCCGTCCGTCCGTCTATTCAAGTGTACCGAACAAGCGTGCACTAACAGCAGCTGTGATACCAGTAGGCTTACATACCGTAATAACAGCAGCGACATCGCTACATACCGGTACAAGTGTGTATGCTGCACATTACCCAACTGTGTAGTAACATTACCCTGAAGTGTGCAAGCAACAACCTATTTCTGTTGTGCTGTGATTGGTCTGTCTGACTAACACAGCTTCCTTTTTTTGGGCGCAACGCAAAGTTTGTTCACAGCACCAGGCTGAGCGAGCAACAATGCCTGAACCTGAAGTCTGAGGAGCAGGCAGGTGCCATGCCATGCCATCTTCGCAGGTAGAAACATGCAGCTAAATAGGTAACATACATTTACTGTACAATGTTGAGGAATGAATACACTTGTAGGAGCTCTGCTTATACCTAAGGGTACCGTACCAGGCACAGACTGGCTACGAGGGCGATATGTGTTGCGAGCATGTGCCCGTGCCAGCACGAGTGTCAACATTGTCACGAGGGTGGTTTTGCAGGCGGTTGGCCAAACTTGGCTAGGTGCAGGGCGGTGAAGAGCGGTTCTAGAGCAGGGATGCGGATGGCATCGAGGTATGAGTCACAGTGGAAGCACCACACGGAGAGATCCCTGTGGTGGTGGACGCGCAGGTCATGCCATGCCATGCCATGCCATGCCATGCCGTGCCAAGCCATTTCAGAAGCGGTGTGGCATGAGAAGCAGAAGCAGGCTTAGCTGATCCACAATGCCGCTCCACACACCACAGAGCCCAACAGAAACTTCACTGAGCGCTGTAAGGAAAAGCCCGAGCAGATTTAGAGGCCCAACATAGCCCATACGAGCCACAGGATAGGCCAATAAGAGGTCAAGCGGAGGGGCAGGGGAGGGGCAGGGGAGGGGCAGGGGAGGGGCAGGGGAGGGGCAGGGGAGGGGCAGGGGAGGGGCAGGGGAGGGGCAGGGGAGGGGCAGGGGAGGGGCAGAGAAGCCTCGTGAGAGGCACAGAGGAGAGGAGGCACGCACCTGAAGCCAGCAGCCAGTGGGTGGGCTGTTTCAGTGACGTGCTGCAGCATGTGGCCGCCCACGTACCGCCCACACGCCACCACTCCACACGTCAGACACACCCAGTTCTCTGTGCCGTCCTTGCAACTGGTGGGAGGGGTGGAGAGGTGCGAGGAGGTGCGATGGAGAGGCGATGGGAGGTGCGATGAGGTGCGACACGTGAGACACACCCAGTTCTCCGTGCCGTCCTTGCAACTGGCAGGAAGGTGCGAGCAGGTGCGATGGAGGGGCGATGGGAGGAGAGGCACGGGTGAGAGAGGGAGGTGAGGTGAGAGGAAGGGGTGAGAGGCGGGTGCATGCATGGAAAGCACCATGCAGGCGCATCGTGCCGTGGATGCCTAGGTTTCAGGCGCCTCAAATCATTGAAGCGCCTGGAATCACAGAAGCGCCTCAATAAGAGCACCATGCAGAGGGATAATGCTAATGCCACTGGTGCTGCTGCAGGGAGAGGGAGGGGTGATGTCACATGGGCAAGGGCAAGAGAAGGGCGGGTGCAAAGAGAGAGAAGGTGGGAGAGAGGGGACCAATACAAACTAAACTCATTCCTCTCCTCTCCGCCCCCCGCTCCACCCCACCTCCCGCTCCGGTTACTTCTCCCCTTCCCGCTCTTCCCCCAAATCCCCACCCGCCTTCTCACACCCCATACCCTTCGTCCTCCCCCTCTCTTTCCCCCCCCCCCCTCCCTTCTCCCCCCCCTTTCCCCCCTCCCCCCTACCTGTGGCAGAGTGAGTCGAAGGGCGGAACGGAGTGCGGGGGCAGCAGCTTTGCGTCAGGGGAGAGCACGTGCGGGCAGTACGTGAGCGCGCTCACCCACACGCCGTTGTCGCCGATGCCCGCTGCTGCCGCCTCTGCTGCCGCTTCCGCTGCTTCTGATGCTGATGGTGCGCCCATCACTAGCAGATCGCCCTGCCGGTGGGGAGAGCCGGGTGTGGAAAGGAGAGGAGGGGACGGGGACGGGGAGGGAAAAGGAGGAGCGGTTGAAAAAGACCCAAGTAGATTGATTGATTAGCAGATCGCCCTGAGGGTGGGGAGAGGCGGGTGTGTGGAAAGGAAGCGGCACCACACCTGAGCCGCTAGAGGTGACCGCGCCCAAAAACTAAGGGTGACTTTTTAGTTGACCGACCGAGCTAGGTCACCTAGCGCCTCAGAGGTATAGGGCCGCTAGAGGTGACCGAGCCCAAGACTAAGGGTGTGCTTAAGAGATTCTCAAACACCACGAGCTGCGTGCGCGGTGGTGCTACCACTCCGTGACACCACGCCCGCGCCGCTACTAGTTGACAGAGCCGACTGAGCGTTGCACGCGCGCGCTCGAAGCGGGGGCACTGGACGGTGGGAGCGTATGCCAGCTGGCAGCACTCGGTGCAATCGCGGTGTCGGGTTTGTCGCAACTGCTAGCGTTACACGCACCTCGTTCACGCCTAAGCTTGTTCGCGAGTCGCCTTGTAAGAGGACAGCGCCAGACGCGGCGGGAGCGCTGCTGCCCGCCGCGCCGCCGCCTTCCGCGTCGCCACACGCCACTGGTTTCTTCCCCTCGCGATGACCTCCGGCATCAGCCGGGCCACCGGCATCAACGCCGTCCATGGCGGAGAGGCGAGCGAGGCTCAGAGCACTCGAATCACGTGAAACTACCCGAACTTCTCTCGAGTAGCTCGAACTACCCGGAATTACTGGAAATCTTCGAAAATAATATTACTCAGAATCACTCGAATCACTCAGATTGATGGGGACCCGGGGAGCGCGGAGGACGTGGGGGCTGGCCGCAGGAGAAAAGGAGGGTGAGGAATTCGTAGAGTTGCTGTGAGAGAACTCACTCACTTCTCCGATAAATTGGCAGCGCAATCTGCAAGGGTGTTGGTGAGGGAAGGCCAGAACAGAAAGCACATTGTACGCTTTATGGAGTCGTCCGACCGATGCGTTTCACTGACTGTCGCCGCATATGCTTATTTACATTGTGTACTGCCGTAAGTGAAAAGGTAGTTGGCTATCCTCTTTAGTAAAACTCCACATAAGTTGATACAAGAAAATCAACCCACATTAACTGCAGCAATGAAGTCCTTATCGATATATGTCATGATTCTCAAAAAAACAAAATATACCGTAACTAGGTACTATTAACAAGGTAGAATTCATCCATTCCGACCGGAATCAAAATTGTCCCTAGCCAGGCGTAAGGTACATGATGTGCACCCAAACCAGTGTCCTCTCCTCCCTCTGCTGCAGCAAGCAGCGAGATTACCGTCCGCCAAGGAGTGGAGGTGGGGAAGGAGTCCAACCGGACCGATGCTTAAGTGAATAGGTAGCCAGCTTGCAGCTGCTTCAAGTGGCTTGAGTTGAGACCAGGCGGTTCACTCAAACAGGTACTGAGGTGTCACCGCAGGAAATGGCGCGGCTGCTTCGGTGCTCCCCTGCTGTATCTTTATTGCTTTGATCCTTCAAGCATTTCGAGATGTCCCCCCACCACATAATCGCACCAGCTGCTCAATCCCCAACTGACAAACACAGAGGCCTATGGGATGGGAGGGAGCTTCTATGTACTATGTACAAGGCCGGCCCCTCCTTAGTAGCAAACAACATGTGAATCTCTTGCTCCAATCTCAAACATCTCCCCTTTCCGTATACCGTTGCCCCTCCCTTCCACGCCCTGCGTACGCGTTTTTCCCGCTTCCCTGCTCCTCTGCTCACCCATGGCCCATCCATCAGCCACCAATTATAATCATCCGCAGCTCAGAGAGATTTCATGCCGGCCACGGCCCATCCATCCTCTGCTCACCCATGCCCCATCCATCAGCCACTGCAAGCGGCGCAACAACAAGAACACGCCCTGCGCGCCACCCATTATCATCAGCCTCAGCTCAGCGGGATTTTAGGCCAGCCAAACCAGACCAGACCAACGGAGAACAGTGTCCGTACCATTCCTGGAGCAGCAACACCCACCTCCCTCCAAATCATCCCACCTCAAGCTCTCCACTTGCTCTCCTCGCCTCCACCTCCAAGCTCTTACCTACTACCACCCCAAGCTACCCCCTCTCCACAGCCCCCCGTTATGCCCGCGCTGCTGTTGCCCGTGCTGCTGCCCCCTCCTCTCACCACCCCTAGTTCTGCCTCCTGGATTCGAGTGCGAATGCGGGAATAGCAGCGCCGCCTCTCCCCTGCCTGCCTGCTCCATCCGAGCTACCTGCAGTGCTGCTGCTTCCATGGCTGCTAAGTCCCAACCTGCCCCTCCCTCTGCCCCCACCACACCATCACCACCCGCCGTTGCACCTGACACTGCCCCACCTATTGCTGCTGCTGCTGCTGCTGTTGCCCCTGCTGTTGCTCCTGCTGCACCTGCTTTAGAGCCAAATGCCCCTGCACGCATCCCCGGCCCCCTTTCTTCGCCCAACCTTCTGTTGTTTCCCTCCCCACGCCTCTCCCCAAGCCTCTCCCCATGCCTCTCCCCATGCCTCTCCCCACGCCCCTCCCCACGCCCCTCCCCACGCCCTTCTCCCCGGCTCTCTCGCAGAATCCTTGCCACTTTTGCCTCAGAGGCACTATCCCAAGCAGCAGCGGGAGCAGCGGATTGAGCAGCACACAGCCTCTCCCACTCCATCAAACCATACACCTGCTTCGCATGCCTCTCGGCCTCTCCTCCTCTCGTCCCTCCCACACCTGCTCCTGCTGCTCCTCCTGCCGCTCCTCCTGCTGACCCAGCAGCTTCTGAAACAGCAGCAGGTGAAGGGTGGGCGGCAGCAGCATCTGCGGATTCTCTAAGCCTTCCGCTTGTGCTGGGATCAAGAATTGTGAGGCTGGCAAAGGGATGGTTAGTGCGTCGAGCAGAGGCGGAACCACCGCGCAATGACAGAGCCGCAGCAGGAAAAGCTTCAGGAAAGGGAAGGGCGGGTGGTGGAGCTCGGGCTTTGGAGGTGGGGGGGAGAGGGAGCAGTGCAGAGTGGGGGGCGAGGAGAGTGGTTGCAGGGAGGAGTTGAGTGAGAGGAATATCCTGCTCCTCTTGCTGCCCATGCTGCCGCTGCTGCTGCCGCTGCTGCTGCTGCTGCTGCTGCTGCTGCTGCTGCTGCTGCTGTTGCTGCTGTTGCTGCTGCTGCCGACGATGGCGGTGATGCTGCTCTTGCTGCTCCAGCAGCAGCTGCTGCTGCTCCTTCTCCTGCTGCTGCTGCAGCTGCTGCCACCGGTGTTGCTCTGCCTCGCTCTGTTGCTGCAGCAGGCGCACAAACAGGTCTTGTTCTGCCTGTTGTGCTGCCACTTGCACTTGCTGCTGCTGCTGCTGCTGCTGCTGCTGCCGCCGTTGCTCTTGCTGCAGCAGATGCTGCCACTCCTGCTGCTGCTGCTCCTGCTGCCGCCACTCCTCCTGCTGCTGCTGCTGCTGCTGCTGCCACTGCTCCTGCCACTGCTGCTGCTGTTGCTGCTGCTGCTTCTTGAACAAGTGTTGTGGCCACAACAAGTGGCGGTGCATCGGGTCAAGAACAGCAGCCTCTGATGCAGGCGAATGGGAAAAGAGCAAAGAGGCAGAGCCAGGGCCGCACAACGAAAGAGGAGTCTGCTGCATCTGCTGCATCCCTGCTGCTGCTGCTGCCGCCGCTGCTGCAGTGGCGGTAGTGGCGGTGGTGACAGCAGTTGGTGAGAGTTCCACGAGAGGGGCTATGACATGTGCTGCTGCTGCACCAGTGACTCCTGCTCCTAGCCCTGACCGCAACGACATGATCTGATGAGCGAGGACGAGGGGAGAGAGAGAGAGAGAGAGGAGAGCGAGAGATGAAAGGACCTTATTGCACGCATGGGTTGTACTTTATTCTATATTAATGAAAGGACCATTCGAGAGGAGAGCAAGCGACGTGGGAAAAAGAGGTAAAAAAACGAGAAGTAAAGTGCAGGAAATTGTTATCGTAGCATGCAGGGCATGAGGAGGGACAGGGGGGGAGGGGAGAGGAAAGGCGGGGAGGAAAGCAGGGAGGGGAGCGCACGCACCTGCAGCTGCAGCTGCATGGCTTTGATGTGCTCTATGAACTTGTCCAGCAGTGATGCCTTGTCCGTCTGCCGTACATGCACATGCACACAGGGGGAGAGGTGGAGAGAGAGAGAGGGGGGCAGGGGGGAGGTGGTGATGACGAGAGGCAGGGCAGCAGAGCTGCATGGCTTTAATGTGCTCTATGAACTTGTCCAGCAGTGATGCCTTGTCCGTCTGCCATGCATGCACATGCACATGGGCAGGCAGTGAGAGGCGGGGAGAGGTGGGGAGAGAGCGGGGGAGGGGGAGAGGGGGGGGGGGGGGGGGGATGGAATGAGCAATTGAGGGAGGTGTGGCAGGAGGGAGGGGAGGAAGTAGGTGAAAGCGAGGGAGGAGAGAAAGTGCAAGACAGTGGTGTTCGTGGTAAACAAATCAAGTACCCACCTAAGAATCCCCCAACGCATCACCGCACACACCATACCGTCAGACCAATTGCAACAAAACACGCACAATTGCCCTGCCTCCCTAAAGATCTATTTGCAACACTCTCAGCCGCTCTTCACCATGTAACAACCCACCTACCAGTTTCACCCACTCTTCTCCCTCATGGCCCCCCTCCAATCCCCCTGCACCCTCACGGTAACCCACCCACCTTGCTGCAGTCTGGCAGCAGCTCCCGCATGGCGTTGAACCGCTCGTTCCTGCAGGAACCCACCCATCAACGTCTACCCTTCCGCTCCCCCACAATTCCCCCTCCAATCCCCCTGCCTGCACCCTCATGGTACCCCACCCACCTTGCTGCAGTCTGGCAGCAGCTCCCGCATGGCGTTGAACCGCTCGTTGATCTTGTCTCGCCGCCGCTGTGGGTCAAGAATTTATAGCAGCCGGTGCATGGAGAGACAGGGAGGGAGAGGGAGGGGAGAGAGGGATGAGGTGCATGGAAGATTTTGGAACGTTAGGGTTGGGGGCGACGAAGGGAAGGGGGTGATCGGAAGGGGGTGATGGGAAAAGAGCGATAAAGGTGAAGGGCTGTGCTTGCATCATTTTTTAATCTTATAGAGCAGTATTTTACAAGCACGGCTTCCCAGATCACACCAGGGGCGTGGGACTTGAGAGATTGGACAAACGATGGGTGCACTCGGAACCGTATGGGATGTGGGGAGAAAAGGAGGAGAGACGACGAGGTGAAGAGGTACCCACCCGCTCCGACAGATTATGCACACGTGCAGATCGAGTCCTGACTGATCCACCTGCTGCTGCTGCTGCTGCTGCTGCTGCTTCTCCCGCTGCCTTGCTTTTTGGTGCCCCTCCTCCCCTTTCCGCTCCTTTTCCTCCCTCTCCTCGCGCCCCTCCTTCTCCTCCTCTTCCTCCTCTTCCTCCTCTTCCTCCTCCTCCCCCCGCTTCCATTGCCTTATTCCCAGCAACACCCGCTCTTCTCTCCTCGCCCTCTTCACCCCTCTTCCTCTCCTCCTCCTCCCCCTCGTCCTCCTCCTCCTCCTCCTCCTCCTCCTCCTCCTCCTCCTCCTCGTCCTCCTCCTCCTCCTCCTCCTCCTCCTCTTGCTCCTCCTCCTCCCGCTCCTGCCCCCCCTCCGTCTCGTCATCGTCCCATCGCACCGCTCCTCTTCTCCGTACCCGCGCA